AAAAAAAAAAAACTGAGATTTACTTAGTAGCAGTCTTTGTTATGGTGAATAAATAAAAAAAAAGAGATGGAGAGAACTCGAAATATGTATTGGTGATTGAAATTATTCGATTCATGGACTCAAATTTTGAATGCGTGGCAGCGATATCAGAGAATTTGGAGACTATAGACATTAATCAGCTTCTAGGTTATTTACAAACACATGAAAAAAGATTGAAGAAGAGGTGTAAGAACCTTCGGCTCAACTTCTCCAATCAAGAATTAGTTAAGGCTTGTGAAAAAAGTCATTTTGTATACTTTACTCTTCCACAAAAGAGTTCAAGTTGGTTACAATAACAGCGAGGATGCATCACAATTGTTAAATCATGTCTAGGGTTGATTCAACGAAGGCTTTAAAAAAATCAGTATGACACATTTTATTATTTTAAGATGGAGATATTACAAATCATTCTCAATCAACCTGAGTTTAATATAAAAATCACGATCCAAGTCATATACACGATCATGATGCACTAAATCGGTTGCTCAACTATCTTTTTTATTCCCCTTCTTTGTTCTCTTGCTGATTAGGCCTTCATTTGGTTAGGATCTGATGGAATTTAGGTTTAAATTAAAGATTACTTGATAATTAGGAATTAAATTAAAAAAAAAAACTTAAACTCACATGGGATGAAATTCAAAATACAATTAATGGGTTCCAAGGTAAAGAAACAGTAAAAGGCAAACATAAATAGCTAGCATACGTGGGAGGACTCGTCGCATTGTTGCAGCGCGTGATCCTTCCTCTAGCCTCCAAAACAGTCTTATGTTTTTGAATTTAATAGTTTTTTGTTTTTTTTCTTCCTTTTAAGTGAATGATTTTGTTTTTCCCATTTATCAATTATAATCCCTTAATTTTGATCTCTTAAAAAATGAAAAACCTGAATAATATGGCGCAAAATTGAGTCTGAGTCAAATGGCAAAAAAACTTTGTACCCTTGAGAATCATATAGAGAGCCTATGAAAACAAACTATCATCCAAATTCAAATATAATTAATGTGGAAGGATAATCTGAAAACAAATCAATGGGGCACTGTATTCATCCTTAGCAATTGAAACCGTCAATGTTGCGCTCTTTCTAGGATGCCCTGTCCCCCGCTGTCCGTTTCTGCCCCTGCTTCTCTGCATGAATCTTTTCCCTTGCTTTTTTCATGGACTCTTCCTCCAAATTACACAGACATTGCAGCCTCAGAAATATGCTATAGTTTATAACTTTCATGGTCTAACTCCTTTGATGGTAATTGGTGGTTTGGGCGGTGACAGGTTTCTTGTCAAGGATTCATATTTACGATGAAAATAATGCGGTTTTTTTGTTTTGTTTTTTCTTTTGTCATTACTATTAGTATTACTATAGAAAAATGTAGAAACCAAAACAGCTTGTTTGCCTTTGTTTGGTGTCGTCGAATGAGAGCTCTTGCCCACAATCCCCACTAAAACATTAAGGAAATAAAACCCCACCGTTTTATCTTAAATCGTGTAAGAACTCCAAACTATTTACACTTTTGAAGATAAACACGATTTCTTTAGTGGGAACCAAACAGGTAAAGTCCATCGCATGTATATGGAATGGTTTAACAAACTGAAAAGCTGATTAGGACATCATTTGGTTCCACGCTAGCTCCTTAGTAACTTAACATTAAAATCAATTTAAAATCATATCTTTACCACCAAATCATGATCATAATTAGGAGTTAGATAGTGTCGTGAATTAAGCAGCAATTTACATTATAATTGGTTTTAAAGGAACTAATAAGCTTTTTATCAACCTATGCTTCTAAACTTATTTACGAGACCCCACTTTGAAGGCTACGATAAATGTTTTTTTTTCCTTTTCCTTTGTCCCATTGCTTTGATAAGTACGATGTTCATCTTTCTGCTAACAAGCCGAGAAAAGAAAACAAGAGAAGGGCGAGACGGTATGGGCTAGAAGATAGTCGAGTCTCCCGCTTCCAATTCTTATCACGATACCCTGTGTTATCATGGAGATAATGTGAAGAGAGAATGACTTGGGAGAATATTGGTGAGCTAGCTAGTTGAGATGTTGATTTTCAAAATTGGATTGTAATCAGATTTAGCATGGAGAAGAAGATATCGTTTTTATTTCTGGGTCTGGTCGGTGAGGGTTGGTGTGTGGATAGCTCAATTTTCCTTGATCATTTCCTCCTTTTAGGTTTGGTTTGGTCACCCTCTACATCATTATCTAAGATAGACACTGTTCATGGTCAGAGACACCATGATTGTTATTCCCTCCATGTTTTTGGCTTGTTTTCTGCTGGTTGCTTTGTAGGTATCCTCCGGGTCAAAGAATTTTAATACCATATTAAAAAATAATCATAGGCAATGTTTGAAGAATAGTTTTAATCATGCATAATGTTCAAGCTAAATATTTATTTTCAAGGGATATCGGTAGTCAAAAATTGAAGAAGAAAACTGTATCAGTTGCCATTAAAATGCAAGCACGCATAGACAATAGACGTCGTGGTGAAAACAATACACAGCTACTGTGTACAAAATCATCAATTACATAAAAACTTTTAATTTACTATTATATACATGTTAAAACAGAAATTATATTTTTAAAACGAGTCATATGTCACGTGCGTGTTAATTTATTTTTTTTGCCATCCTTGCCGATGTCTTACATGAATTCTACTAGCAATATACATTTTTTTTAATGGGATACCAGTGCTGGAATTGTGGTTATTGAATTTGGATTCTAGTTTTGTTTGTAAACTGAACCAAGAAAATTACATAAAATCACGGTTAGACAGATCACATCAAACAAGCTAACAAAAAAATTAAAACTAGAAGGGAAATTATTGGGCGTCAAGACAAAGAACATTATTTATTATAATAATATAATGATAAAATCGCCCTTAATCATAAAACCTTTTAACTATATATTGGAAATAAGATGATTTTCTTACCAAAATATAATTGTTATTTCAAATTATAAAGGGATAGATTGATCTTTTTTTCACATAGTAAAACTACTTAGTTGCAAAGAAAAAAAAAACTTACATTCAAGTGTTTTTAGTCTTTTTAATTTTTTAATACAGTAAAATAACTTAATTATTTTTAAATTGAAAATTTATTCAACCGTTTTTTAGGGATTTTTTTCATACTTTCATTTTAATTTTTTTGTTTGTTAATATAAAGATGACATGAGCATACTTTTATGTTTTAATTAATATTAAATATTTTAAAAAAAATTTGTTGATATATACATTGAATGACGACACGTGTTAAATTGTTTGGTGACATGTTTGAATCATCTAAAAGACCCTTTTATTATACATGTGACCAATGAGCGTCTAATTTGATTAGAAAAATCTTTTTTTTTTTTCCTCCTCTTTTCCTTAGTCATGTATATGTCCTTAAAAATCTTAAAATAAACCTTTTAATTTATTTTTAAAAAAAATTATCTCTCTTCATCCTTATTTCTCTTGATTGCTCTCTCTCTCTCTCTCTCTCTCTCTCTATATATATATATATATATATATATATATAATTTTATTATTCAAAATTAAATTAGTTAAAAATTTAGGTTCTTAATTGAGGTCAGGATTAAGATTTAACATGTTGTAAATTTTAAAGATTAACTTATATTTAAAAGGTTTGTCCATGTTTGATTTTTTTTCTTTATTTGATCTTATGCCTTTTAAGTTTTATCTTTAAATATTTATTTAATTAAAAATTGGGTTATGTTATTTTTATTTATTTGCTTTCTATGCAAGTTTTTACTAATTTTAAAAATGACTTAGGCTATCTCGAGTATTTTTATTTGTAATTTTTATTGAATTTTTTGTAATTAATTTTTTTTAATTTTATCCTTCAATACTAAATTGATTAGAAATTAAGAGTTTTTACAAGTTTAAATCAGATAAGCCATTATCAGAAACCCAATTGAAACAAAGTAACAAAAATGAAAATCAAGAGAAGGAAAATGGCACATACCCTTGCCCCTTCAACAATTGGCAAACGGAGTGTGCTAGCCTGCAAAGCTTCAATGGCCCCTGATAAAGAACGGGAGTAATCCTGGTCAATCAATGCCAGTTCTTCTAAAGACAACATCTGCAGCAATCATGAGTCATTAGTTTAAAAGAGAATACCCAAATAGAAATCACTAGAAATAAATAACTTCAAGCTCCAATCATGCATAAATCTCGATTAAAATAAAGCTTTGGTTTTGGCCCTTGTTCCTTAATAAAACAGAACCTTGAATAGCATTCATGGCAATGACATGGCTGAAAGTATGCCATATGGTTTGGAAGTCTATAACAATCCATTCAAGAAGTCAGCCCAATGAGAGTCAGTTTATATGAAAATGTGTGTGATAAACAGAGAGGATTTAAAAATCAGCTTAAAATGATAAATGCCAAATCTTAAAATTCAAATTATTAGAAATATTATAAGAGAAATTAAAAGTTACACCAGTAAAATTTGCATAAATACTGAAATGAAAACACAACATAGAAAAACATAGTGTTTCTATGATGGGATCATATACTGAAAAACATAGTGTTTCTATGATGGGATCAAGTCAGTCGTATCTTACTTGCTCCTTGAGGATGGAAATCAGCTTCAAATTTTGCCTTAGCCATTGCAACTCTGTTCTTTTTGCTCTCACAGATTCACACAGTTTTGATGTTGTTACATGCGCATTATACAGGCTTTTCTGGTATAGATAAGAAAAATCAGACAAGAAAATTCCTCTAAATAATTTGACAGGTTGAATTAAAGGAAATTGCATAAGGAACGAGTTACCAAAATAAAAATGAGTGGCAATTGTAAGCATAATTCATACATAAATCATCATATTGCCAAAAATGGACAAAACCTGGTATTAAAATTGTTCAGATATCCTAAAATGGCTTGATTTTGGCCATAATCGTACTAAATGCTTGAAGTAATAGATGGACACATCTACAATGCATGTATCTTCTCCAACAGGACCAGCTATTACAATCTTACAGGCTTCAGTAAAAAATCTTAATCCCACATGAATAATAAATGTGAATAACACATGACACAATTGACTTGGTCAAAACAATTTAAAAGGGAACTACAATTCAGGGGGAAGGGGTCATTTTTAGCCAAAGCTTCTGGAAAGAATTATGAGAAACTAGCATCCATGAACAGTCAAAATGATCAGAATAAGCTAACTGAAGAATCAGCTGTCTCCATCATATTATTTTCAACATCTTGTCAACATGGTTTCATGAACCATAAAATTTCTCTGTTAATTAAAATTTCTTATCAAACCCCATATAAAAGATTGCTGCTCAATAAGATGATATAGCTATGAAGTTAGGTTGGCAGATGAAAAACAATATTCTAGAAATTTATATTCACCTCAGAATTGCATCCGTACACAAAACCTTATAGAATCAACTCTTACAGATTTGACACAGATTTGACACAGAATCTTCACCCTCAAATACATGATATTTAATTCATTCCACTGATCGCCTACTCTGTTTTATTATTATATTAAAAGAAAATCTTCACCCTCAAATACATGATATTTAAAACTAGACTAGATGAACGATTGTATCTAGAAGGCAATTTAATGCCAAAACACCTGTTTTTAACAAAAACATTCAAACTCCGACACCAAAATATGGGGGCAGAGCAGCGAATGAGATTGCCTCACCTCCACTGGATCAGCCTCCCTTTGTAATTTAGCATGCTAGGCTTTTCAGGCAGCAAGTTTCCTACAGCAGCATGTTCACAGGGGTTTTCAATTGCCTCCTCCCCCACCTCCACCAGGCATATATATCATTAGCCAATATACATAACCTTCACCAGTTATAGTCAACACGGCACCAAATTTTTTTTCAATCTATAAATTCCTCCCAACCGCTTTTCAATGAATTAACAAGTAGCAGATTTCCTTCTACTTGTTCACACATAACTAACTATTGTGCAAAAAAATCCATCATCTTTCGTGACTACTTCTCAATCACCTATCAACCTCTAGACAGAGATTCAGTTTTTATTAGACATCACTTAACCACCCAGATTTGCTCAAATCCCTTAGTTAATAAAAACTGCAATCATGAAAATTGGCACTTCCCACTAACAATTGAAATCAATGGAAGAACTACATGAGAGAAGGAGTAGAGATATTATGGTTTCCTATCCAATAAAATACTCAATGCCATTCATTAACTGATAGTAATTGCCAAACAACAAAGCATGCAATAAAGAAAATAGATGCTAAATCCTAGAAAACAGCGACCATACCTTTGCATTCAACCGCTGAGCAGACAGAGCAGAATCAGCTCTGGCATTGATAAAACGCAATTGCAACAACCGATTATGAAAAATCCTTAACAAATGCACCTCCACAATCCGATTCTCCCCAATCTTCCCTCTCCTAATATCAGCAGCAAAGCTCAAAATTGAAGGGGTACTATTCACGTTGCTCAGATTACTACTCACAACACCTCCCACGGCATTCCTCACCCTCGATGGACTCATTCCCCTCATAGGAGACCGTGCAGCAGCCGATGATATCCCAAACTTACTAGGCGACCCAGGCCGTAACGCCCCACCACGAATAGGAGACATCTGTCCCCTACTATTGACAACTCCTTTTGGAGAAGATACTGGACTATCACTTCCAAACTTCTTTGGTGCAATAAGTTTGGCCGGTGTAGGTCCTTTCAATCCATTATTCCTAGAAACTGGTGACCAAGGCTCTGGTTGCCGCCTGATTCTACTATTAGTCTCTTGCCAAAACCTTGCCGGCTCTATAAACCCACGCCCCCGCTGTCCTGCAACACCAACAGCATTTCCACTACTCTCTGAAGTAGTACCAGATGATACACTCTCAGTTTCCGAAGCCGAAGGATGTTCACTATGAACATCAGATCCATTCACGTCAATAGGCTTCGTGGAATCGATTGTGCTAGAATCAGAACTCAATCTGCTTTCAATTGATGAGCTGGTATTGTTGTCATCCGCCATTGAATTTTGCAATGCCCTAACAACATTCAAATTGACTCCAGACCCAGCAAATTTCTTTCTATCATCAGTGCAATCCATGCTCCTTATAGTCATTGGATTTGGCTGCCTAAATCTCCCTGGCCAC